ATTAATACTAATATATTAGATCAAATCAATCATTAATTAATCATAAATTAAGATAATTAGTTCAAAGATTCTCATGAGTTCCATTAAAAAACACTAATTGTAGTACATCAAAATTTGACAATTACTTCTAATATTTCCTTTCATGTATGGTCTATAAAACTACACGTTAATTGATGATTAAATTGGAAGCAAAAATAAAAATAAAAATCTTATATATGAGTCTAAAATGAGTAAAGTAATAAATATGATCGTGGGTAGGGACGAAAGTCAAATTAATCCTTGTTCAAATATAGGTAATTAGATAAACTAGCTAAAAACTTAGTTTGAGAATCTATTTTTTAATTATATGCAGATGTGATGTCTACTACGAAGGACAGGTTATACCGATAGATTTTAAAGTTGAACTTGTAAAGGAGAGGTGTATATATTACCTTAGGCGAATCTTACATCGAACGAAATAGGAAAATGAAGAGTTTATATGAGGCATAGCCGCATAGCACAAGAGTTCACATGATACACATGTTTTTGAACTCGATGAAGACATAGTCTAAAGGACAAATCTGTAAGGTTAGTTGACTCAACGTGAGCAGTACGTGTTATGAATTTGAGTCATGATAAATGTGAAATTAAAGCCTAACACTCTTTTAGTACAATGATGGGACAAATCTTAGCGAGAACATTGAATCACTAAATGAGGTACTCCCTCCATTTTAAAAAGAATGGTCTAATCTGATTTGACACATAGCTTAAGAAAATAGAGAAGAACGAATTTTCAAGTAGTGTTCAATCAATTGCCTATATAATTTTCAAGTTGTGCTCAATCAATTGCCTATATTAACGTTCAAATCAATAATTTGGAAAGCCCATTTTTCACTTGGCCCAAATATAGAATGAACAATCATGTATCTGCATAACCTTCTATGAGGCCCAATGGGCCACTTCAAAAAGCTTGTTAAACTTTCTTCCTAATATTCACCAAACTAGTTAACATGTTCGCGCGATCATAACAACTATTTTTAAAATAAAAATTTCTTATAAATTAGTACATACTAAAAAAGAAGAAATATGATTAATAATTAGATCAAAATTTTAAAATGTTTATCATAATTGTTTCAATTTTTAAGATACAGTTTTCTTATTCTTTTGCTGGGGGTGAAAAGACCATGTTTTTTATTTTGAAAAAAAAAATACTAACTTAATTTTCTGCTTAATTTTTTATTTGCCGTTGATCATCAAATAAAACATAAATAATCTGTCCTCCTCATTTTTTAAAAGAAGGGATGCTTATTTAAATGAGGAACTATTGAACTTAGACCTTTTATAATATCATTCCTCACTATGATTTTTTGTTTAAAAAATCATACTTGTTATGTACGACTGTAAGTAATCTTTTTTAAAAAGTCTTATTTTTTAAAAAAAAATTGTGCAAGTTAAAATATGAAAATTAACAAAAAAGCATGTCAATAGTAATACAAAGGAAAGAACAACTAACTATTTTCTAATCAAATGAAAGATAAATATATAAAATCGTAATGATAAAATTGAAAAGCATTTAATATTAATGTTTCAACAAACAACTCGAAACAAAATTATATCGTTATTTTTATTTGTTTTAATTATCAAAGAATAATTATTCAAATAATAAATAATGAATAGTTTAACTCTTGAGGAGTTACAAAAGTCACTAAATATGTAATTATTTAGAGAAAATTAAATTTTAAATTATGACAAAAAAAACAAAAAAAAAAAGAAGAGAAAAATAATAAGTAGGACTCGTAGTATATAAGAGTTTTTGCTAGTGTCTGTTTTTTATATCATATTGAAATTATTTATAAAAAAAATTCGTCTTCACACAAATAAAAAAAAATTATATCTCAATATTTCACTAAAATAGTACTTCATTTCATTTTACTGTGGATTTTGTATGTTTCGTTGTGGTCGTTTTATTTAATTACTAAAAAGTTAGAAAATAGAAAAATATATTTCATTATTTTAGTAAAAACTTTAAAAATCTTGAGTTTTAATAAATAAATATATACTCCCTCTATTTCAAAATAAGTGAATTGTTGAGCCCTTTTTATAGTTCAAAATAAGTGAATTGTTCAAAGTTTAAGAGATATGTTGAACAATTATTCCATTTTTTTCCCCTCATTTACTAAATAATTATAAAAGAAATGACTTTTTGAATACAAAATATGTGCATAGCGTCATCAGGAAAATAAATCATTTATTTTTGAAGTTATTTAGAACGCTCATTTATGTAATAGATAAATGACTTAATTTTGAGTAATTTTAATATATGATGTAAGTGAAAGAAAAATGAGAAGTCGTCTTAAAAAGAGAGAAAGAATTAGGTAAAAAGGAATTGAGGAGACATGTTATTTTAGTAAAAAGTATAAATAGATAAAGATTTTTGTAAGTCATGAGATGGATCAAAGTTAGAGTATGTCTTGTTACCAAAAGCTTACAACCACAAATAAAAAAAAAACATATGCATCCGTGAAAATGTTCTACATGTAAATCTTGAATAGCTGATTTGCAAATGATAGACTAAAATTTAAAGCCATCATATTTTGGAAAAACTAAATGTAGAGGTAATGAAGAGAATCATAGAAAGGAGTTGAGGAGATATGTCATTTACGTAATAAATGTGAATAAATGGAGGTTTTTGTAATTTATGAGTTGTAATTATATGTAATAAATTTTATATATTTTTTAATTATCAAACAAATTAATTAATGAAGAGGTAAACTCATTTTTTTAGTTTCATAATAACTTAAACAAATATCAATTTTCTCTATGTATAATTATTTTTATACTTTTAGTATTTCTTAACTTAAGAAAATATGTTCATTGTAATTGGATAATTGCAAAACAAACTTGGTTCATTCTGAAAAATTTCATTAAATTAGAAGAATTAAATGTTTTGTGAAAATTGAATCCAACAATCATATATAAAGGCTAATTTTACACAAGTGTTAACAAATACGAAACAAAAATTTAATGGAGGATCTCATCTCCTTTTTAGTCAATTCGAATTCCACAAAAGAAAGAAATGTGTTATATCATCTAAATTAGGATGAAAAGAAGCGGATAAAGCTAAACAAATAATGATGTAATCTTGATCGAAAAATTATGTCATATTAACATGTTATATACATAATATATATCAATAGAGAATATGGATTGTATATGCAAAAGAAAAAAAATATAATGAAAATATCAAAACAAAAATTAATTAAGCAACAAAATAATCTGTTGAAGATCATGTTGCCCTTGATACAAAAAATGTGCTTTGTAATATAATCTTATTCTTGAAGGGTACACATCTTGATGGATAAATAATTAATTGAAAAATTATGTAAGCAACAATAAGTACATCTATATATTTGTATATTATTGAAACTTCTACTTTTTAAATTTTAATCTGGCCAACTCTTGATGAATCTCCCACCACCATTAAACTTTCTTCTTCATTTTGATGACTTGTAGCAAGTTATTTTTTGATCATCTCCTTTGACGAATCTTACACCGCCTTCAAACTTTCTTCTTCATCTTGATAAATTTTTGTTTGGCTATTGTAACACAAGAAGAAATTCTAAAAAATATATCTATAATCTTCATAAAAGCTGGAAAAAAAATACTAACAATATGAAGTTGGAGAAAATAGAAATGAACATGCAACAACACCATAGAGGATTGATATTTATAGATTATTTAAATCATAAAAGTTAAGTAGAAGGAAGTTGAGGAGACACGTTATTTAATTAGAGAATTCAAATAGGTGGAGGTTTTTTTGTAACTTTCATATGATATAATTATATGTAATGAATATGATTGAATTTTTTACTTATTTAATAAATTGATTAATGAAAAAACTCAAAAAAAGGAGAAAAAAGATAAATAGGTTTCTAGGCCATTGAGAGGTGCCACATCACCTTGTTTATATCTAGCTTTATTATATATATAGATAGCCACTTTTCAGTCCCGTAATTTTAAAAATAGTACTTAATTGTTTAGAGTTTTAATTTCTATGAGTGAATTCCAGGATACTTTCAAGAAGTTTCAGTTATGAACGTTGAAACTCAAAGACAATTATTTTCTTATAAAGATAAGATTCAAAAGTGCATCGATTATCATTGTGGTATGATGTCGTATTCATTTGAATTTAATATTTTTAATATAAAATACAAAGTTATGGCATGAGATGGAACCAACTTCCAACAATGCCCATGCATCAACTCATCTTGAACGGACCAAAATGAGCTTAAATAAAGCGACATAAATCGTTATAATTTTAAATAATCGATCCCAAACTTGCTTGAAATTTAGAATAATCCTACCTTTCTTTCATTTTGGGAAGGCAAGTGAAAATGGGATCCATGTATGTAATATTTTTATAATGTTGAAAGGATATTATGGGTACATAAATCATTTTTAAAATGTTACAACATTGGTTTGACTTGTTTGACTAGACTTCTCTTTTTCTTCTACATCAAACCTGCTAAAAAAGCAGAATGAAAAAAAAATTAATTAGCAATATTAATCCCATGATTCTTACTTGTCTTGAGCTAAAATTACCATTAAATCAGTGAAACTTAGAATATCGTTCTTAAACATAGAAAAACAGACACTTTGTATTGTTTTAATTTCTTTTTCAAAATTTAACTCCGTCTGTATGAGCTTGCTCACATTGTCAATTTCAATCCCTGATAAAAAAGGAGGTTGTGGTAGGCTAGTAGCCAGCGTAAACTTGTCAATTTATGATGAATCCTCATATATAATACATATATTGATATAAAATTATGAGCATATAGGAAGAAGTGGGCCGATCCCAACCTTTTTCTTTTTTTTTTAACTGCCTCCAATGATCATTGATATGAAAAAGTTACATTTTGAAGTTTGGTATATAGCCGATCCCAACTTGTTTAGGATAGAGGTGTAGTTTTTAAATTTACAATTTTAATTTTCTTTTCATTTTATTCAAGTAAGAACACATATAGAATGCTCACCTATGGTCTCTTAAGGTATTTTTGTTGATAAAAGAATAGCCAACATGATGAAAAAGAAGATAATCTGCAAAGGAAATTGGGTATATAAGAAGAGATTGAATCCAGAAAAACTATAGTATATGTAAACAACAACAATATACTCAGTGTATCCCGAGGGTCGTGTGTACAGAGTCTTACCTCTACCTTACGAAGATAGAGAGACTGTTTTTGATAGACGTTCCGGCATATGTAAAGTATATGTAAAGCATGAACTAAATATTAGCAAAAAAAACTCACCAAAACTGGAATATTATAATTAGGCTGATAGCTGAATGTGTAAGATTTCCTGGTGGTAAATAAAGTCATCAAATGATAATGTCAAATATTTCCATAAACAAACAACAACATACCCAGTGTAATTCCACAAGTGCGGTTTGAGGAGGGTACAAGGAAACATAAAAAACCTTTGATTTAAGGTTCCGGAGTCTCTGCAAGTTTTCAAGATTGCTTCAAGCCTCTTCAAAGTACTCGTTGCATTTGGATCATCGCGATCAACCTTAAAGAATCGATTGATAAGTTGTTTAATCGAGCACGATGAAATTAAAGAAACAAAATTTGAACATAAAGAAGAATTAACCATAGTAGAATTTCACCTAATATTTGAACATCAAAGGGCTTCATATATCAAATGGACTAATTTAGAATTTTACAACAACAACTAGGCCACAGTCTCAAACAAATGGAGGTCCGAGGTCACCTATATGAATTCTCACTGCTTCATTTAACCTCAACTCACGAGGGATAACTAACGATGCAGATGTGAACGAAAAACCAGGAAATTGAGCAATTCTAACTTAGCAATAACCTTTAGAATGAGTAAAGTCACAACTTCAAACAGTGGCAGAGTCAGAATTCTCACTTAGGTGAGTCAAAATATAAAGAAGTAAAACACACGAGATGTCTCCGCTACTTACTACAGAGCTAAAAGTTGTTCTGAGAATAGTACATGTTATACCTTAGATTCCATTATACAACAAAAGTCATAAAAAGCTCCGTAGACATCAGCCATCGTCCTTGTCTGATCAATAATCTTAGCACAGAGGCCTAAAAAGAAGAAACCAAAGAACAAGACTTAGCAAGAAATTGTTTTCATCCACAAAAAAGCATCAAACAGACATGCATATTGACAAGTCGTGTATCTTTACCTCGTCTCATTTCAACAACGCCTTTGAAAATCTCAACGTTGTTGTAGTACATCGACAAATTCCCCATATTTATGATCTGGTAGTACAAGAAAGTCACAAGGAAATGAGTACTCCATGTATAGTATAAGTGCAAATTGAGTGATCATGTCACACTAGTTCTCATATAGAGACCACTACACGGTAGAAAAACAACGTTTTGAACTGTTGAAAGGAAATTTATACCTGTGGAATTGCACAGAACTGAAAGATAGCAGGATCGCGTAAACTAGACATGCTAGTCAGACAATCTTCTACATATAATAAAGCATTAGTGACCATTTCATTCAGACATTGTACTGCCTTGACCGAGTTTTCCTCGTACTTAAAGTCCTGAGACACATAAAGAAGATGGAAATTACAGAACAACGAATCAACGTATGAACTTCAAACAAGAAATAGCAACATGTTATGATGAAAGCAAACCTCGAGTTTGTTAACATATTTACTCCAAATTTGTCGAGGCCAAAACATACGACATTTAGGTACTTCACTTATGTCCTCTAGATAATCTCTAATGATGCTTATTTTCTGAAATGTATAGCCAAATATGCTTGTAATCAGTAGCTAGCATACAGAGCTTTTTTTAAGGCTCCGCGATAAATATGTTAGAGGTCAATACCTGAAGAAATAAACCCATGGAAATCGAGATGGATTCTGGTGCTAAATCTTCTCTTCCAGAAACATAAAAAAACTTTGATAATCCTAATCCACAAAGTCCAGATGCATAGAAACTATATTCATTATAATCATCGATTGTTTCTACCTGCACGATACCAAATGACTTTTATAAGTGAAATTTACGAGTACTAATTTGCTAGTGAAAGTGAATTCACGATTATTCAGAGTCAGCAAATTCAGAATGAGTTTGATCTTATTATGCCAAACATTTTATTCATAGTTCAAGAAGATAGCAATGAGTTCAATTGAATTCATCTATTCTAATAATCATGCAATGAAGTTTAGACATATGGTTTCCACAATGTTGGGTAACGCCAACATCCTGCTTATGGCAAGGTCCGTGAGGGTGCTGGGGTGACCTAGGTCAGAGTCATGATTGAAGTTAAGAAATAAAGTTGCGACTTTATAACCTAGCTATTAGCTTTTGGCATATGATGATAAGCGTTTGATCCCAACACACAATTTTGTCAATATTCCGCGAATTACCTCCTTGCATAGAAATTTCGCCATTCCTTCACCCATTCTCTTGGTAATATCCTTAATCACCTCTTGATAACTGCAAAATACGTGCAACGTTTCGTTTACAAATACTCAAATGTATGAAATTAAGTATCATTCTGTTTTTTTGCTATCAATTTTCGATATGCAAACAAAATGTTAATACCAAAAAATCAACATTTTTTTCTAAGAACTCACTTTGTATCAAGCTCTAGGAAAGCAGTGGAAACATGATGGAATTGGTCCATAAGAACCTTGAATGCCTTTGTACCACCTAATAATTAAAAAAAGGTGAACGAGTTTAAGTTATATACATTATCATATCATTTTTACCTGTTATAAGAATAACAAGTCGATCGCGAAGTGAAGAAAAAAACTTACATGAAAAATGCCATTGAGGATCATAGAAGTTGCAATAAAAATTTCTCAAAATAGGTACTCTAACCTCAATGGCTAAGCTGGTATCATCCTCTGTTCATAATTAATTAAGTAATTAGAAGGGAAAATCAAAATAATTAGTGAGCAATATTCTAGTAATTAGTGAAATTAAACTTATGGGATTTAACTTGAACATACATACCAACAGTGTCAAGTGCTCTAAGAACCAAATAATAAACACAAACCTGCAGAATTGGAGATGAATTTTAAGGACAAAACGAGGAAATGAGATTTCTTGCTCTTACAATTTGAATAGAAGAAAATAGTTAGTATTCAAATATCGGTTTTCTTAAACTTCATATTCAGTCAAACACAACTACATAAATTGAGACGAACGTGTTAACATGCCTTATTTTCTTAATTACTAATTAATTTCACTTATCATTTAAGTAACTTGATAATTAATGTTGAAATATAAGATGAAATCGTCATAATATCAACAAGACACAAAAAAATTGAAGAATAAGATAAACATAAACACAATTATAATATTTAATGCTTAGGATTCCATACTACAAAATAAATTATGTAGTAAATATTTTTTACACTATCAGCATATACTTACCACGTTACGAAGGTCACTAGGAAGTTGTTGAATTACAAGAGCAAAGCTACGAGACACCTTTCGGAGAGTAGCGTAGCAGAAGGCCCAGTGTGGCTGCAACAGCCACACTGATGTCTTCTTCTCGATGCGTTTTGCCGTTAACATGAGCTTTACCAATGGGTATAATTCATCTGGATGCATCAAAATCTCCTGCATCAACTCCATTTTTATAAATTTGTTTAATTAAGGAGTGTCAATTTATAGTATATATATACTATAAAGGATGAGAAAAATATAAACTTTATGCGTGGATTTATATTATATATAATGAAGAAGTGATTTGACTTAGAAATATTTAAGTTTAGTAAAATAATTTATAATTACCTAAATAATTTAATTGAGTATTTTAGATTACGAATTTTATCTATTATTACTTAAATTTAGTGTTGAATCAAAATGCATCACACAAAGGGAACCACAGGAAATAATACGAAATTTTGTGGTGTTAGGTTGGGTTGTTTCAACTCATTATTTTCGTGCTTTGGTAGTTGAATTTACATACATATATATTATCGTTGAGATTTAAATTTTTAAACTTTGATTGTAGATTTTAATATAGAAGTTTTAAGTTTTTAAAAAATAAAAATTTATATATTGAGAATTACGTAAAAAATACTATAAATCACAATAATGAACTATTTGAAATATTTAAAAGGCATATAGAGAAATTCAGATAAAAAATAGCTTGATTGTCTCTCGAAATTCCAACTATGAAAAGAATAATATTTTCTTTCTAAACGTACTTGATCTCAAAAATGTAGCATTGTAATAATGAATTGATCTGAATCTAATATTTTAATATAAAATATATATGAATATATAAAATTAACTAAAAATTATAATACTTAATAGGTTTAAACCATGCTTTGAAAGATACACTTGCTTTAGTCTCTGTTTGTGGTAGCATATAAGTTTTTTGAGATCACAAATGTGAAAATATAAATTTTTGTTTTGTGAAAAAATTATTTATCTTGAAAGACAAAATAAAGGGAAAAATGGAAATAACCCAATCCACCTGTCCATTCCAATTAAGCTCTTTCGACTTGTCCTGTTTTTGGATTGGTTTGTCATTTATAAAACAATTCCAAGTTAGTTTGTTAATAAAAACACTCAACATAAGTTAGTAATACATAAAGGGATGTTTATACATGGATAAGAATAATAATTTAGGAATGAATTGGTAATCTCAGACTAATTTTACACTAAAATTGTGAGATTAATAATCTCATCTAGCAGGTGGAATAGTCATGAGATATGTCATCATTGTGTCGAAAATCGTCCAATTACCCTAGGCATGTAAATATTTAGAACACACGAAATATTTGGAACAATTCGTTTTGGAGTAAAAGGCAAAAGAACCCTGTTCTCACTTTGCTCAAACAACAACAACATGTCCAGTGAAATCCTACAGTGGGGTCTGAGGAAGACATAGTGTATACAGACCTTATCACTACCTCGTGAAAGTAAGACTATTTCTAAAAGACCCTCGCACTTGGGCCAAAAAGAACCTGTTTTCACTGGGCCCTTGGGCTATCCATTTTCATATGGCCCAAGTAGAAAATTGAACAACTACATATCTATGCATAACCTTCACTTGGGCCATTGGGCTATCTATTTTCACAAGGCCCAAATAAGAAATTAGTCAAATGGAGCCCATGAGTCCATTAATGAGACTACATAAGTGGGCCTCTTTTTCTGGCAAGTGTCTATAAGTGATCTTCAATAGAGAGACAAATCAGATATTTGACGTACAGCAACATCATTGGCTACCTTTCTCTGTGTGTACTATTTAAAACTTAGCATTAATAAGAATGGCCCATTGGGCCCATGATCAAGACAGTATGCCTCTTGCTGTTCTAGACATTGACTTGTTGATATTGTCAATTCATAAAATATGTACTTTTTAACCTTTTTGTAAAAAAAAAAAACTAGTCACTGTCATAGAGTTTTAAATTTCACAGATAAAAAGTTTAGGATATTATTAAGAGTTTTCACATCTTTTGAATATGGACGTTCTTAACTGGTCAGCACTTTGTACTATAGTATGAGGCAAAATATTGATCAATTAAGATATTCGCTTTCAGAAGATGAAGGTTACAGAGATGATGTTTAGATAGATGTGCTTATAAGAATGAAGTTATAAGGGATAAGATAGGAGTGGCTTCCTGATGAATAAGATGAGGGAAGTGAGATTGAGATAGTTCAGACATGAAGATACGCCAATGTGTATTATTATATGGTGTTGTACATTGCTAGTTTGTCCATGTTTTTCTTTCTTACCTTTGCGTTGGTTGAACCGAGAGTCAATCAAAAATAATCTCTTTACCCTGCAAATATCAAAATAAAATCGACGTATACTATGCTTTTTTCAGACACCACTTATGAGATTACACTAATATCTTATATATTACTGTTGTAACCAATTTCAACTAAGGTAAATTGTCATTAAGTACTCCAAGCACCGTCATGAAAAAATTCAACGGTAAAATTTCAAACTAATCATTATTTTTCAATTATAAGACTGAAAAGTGACTAACGCGCATTATTACTATGTTCCCTTTTAATGGACCCAGTGCATACTTTTTATTTTATTTATTTCATTCTAGAGTACATAATTCATAATTCATTGTCTCCATTAATTCATTTGGTCCGTGAAGAACAGCTGTATTTGGTTTAGTCATTTTCAAAGCCTGGCCTAAACTGAAGTTTGTTTTCCTGTTTCCTAGGTGGACCCCAAAGGCCCACTTCTAAAAAGTATGCTCAACTTTCTTCTTCCTAATATTCACAAAATAGCCACTTTTCAACTTAATAAACTTTTTTAAAAAATGGAGTTTTAATTTCTACAAGTGAATTCAGGATATTGTCAAGAAGTTTCAGTTATATCAACGTAGGTTATGGTGTAGTAGTATAACTGTTTTATTTTTAACCAGAGGTTTTGAGTTTGAGTTTGAGTTCGAGTTCGAGTTCGGAGTATGATTTTTTTTAATTGAAACGTCATCTCTAAATGAATCATGTAGTGCACCTTAACGCTCTTCTTTAGCGGCTTACTAACAGGCCCATGTAGTTGGCCTAGCAGATGACTCTTATCTAGGAGTTCACCAAAGCCCTATCATGTATAATAGAGAAAAATTTTATTGACGCTCTAACCTAAAAATAGATCTTATGAAAAGAAAAGATTGATCGTCAATGAAGATCGCAATATTCGAATTTAGTTGAGGCTCAAATAAGGGCTCCGGACACCGTGTAGGAAACAAAAAGAAGTGTTTCAGTTATGAAAGTTGAAACTGAACACAAACAATAATAATATATTTGATATAATTTCACAAGTGGAATTTGGAGAAGATCTTATATACATAAAACTTACATTTACCTCGTGATGGTGTAGAAGTTGTTTTTGATAGACTATTGACTTCAAGAAAAACATTTTAAAACATCTTGGAAGTTGGAAAGGAAAGCACGGAAATGAAGAAGACATGACAACCAAAAGAAAAAGCAATACATATTATTCCAAAAGGGGGGAAAAGTAACAATAATAAAGTAATGTGATAATCGAAGCACAACAAACACAACTTAGATGGTAACATAAAATTGAAGACAAGAAATTACGAGGATAATGTTAGTAGTACTATGGTAAGAAAATGAAAAGATATATGACAAATATGATACATTTAAACAAGGAGTACTTTGTCAAAATAATACTAAGTGGGTGTAAACAGGGCCAAACATCCACGACCCAATGATCACTCTAACCCAAATGGGACAGGCCCTATAGGCCCACTTGCTATGCAATTTTTCTATTTTGAGGGAAGAAATTAATAATAATATTAATATTAATATTATTATTATTAATAATAATAATAATAATATACTATTAATAATAATATTTGAAATGATAATAATAATAGTGATAGTAATTAAAATAATATAACACTAGTCTTAGCAATCTCATTCCTAACGAGTTAGATGTTAAATATGTGTTCTTAGTTTCTTCTTTTTTGAATAGTAGGATTTGAGAAGTTATTCGCTTATACTCGACTTGTCTATTGAATAAACTCATTTTCAAAAACAGGCAAAGAAATGCTTGAGTTAAACATGCCGATTTTTTAAAGTGATTTGATCGATCGATGACATCAATAAAAATTAGACGGAACTCTATAAAATTGATGGAGAGGCTCTCCTTTCAAAAGACAACAAAGAAATAAGGCCCCAATATATTATTATTATTAGAAATTCTAAAATGTTGTAGTACATTTTGGACTTTGATTTTTCTAGAGTAATTGATGCGGAAAAAACAATTATTTTTAAATTATTGATCTTCTAAAAGAATTCAATTTATCTTCCACTCACAAAAACCAACAATTTTTTATACACTTCAATAGTTTTATATTTTTTTAGTCTCAATTTATAAAATTTACATCTTTTTTTAATTTGTTTAAAAAGGTAATAATATCTCTTTTTATTTAGAAATAAATTAATATTAGATTTTTTCTAGTAAATTTATTCATATCACATAAATATTTATACATTTCATTTATATAATAACTTTCTTATATTTTTAATTTTATGTTCAATTAAAATATATCACATAAATTAATACAAACTATATAATAATAGTTGTCAATTTTTGTACGACAAGACAATTCCACCTAAAGGGACCTACATTTTAAAGTTTGCAAACTGTCTTTGTCTAAAAGATCAATCTTTTTTTTTCTTTTCGTATGAATTTGGTCCCTCTCTAATAAGTGGAACATTATTTATCGAAATAGAAGGTCAGTTCCAGCCCGTCTACAAAATTAGATTTGAATGTTTCCGAAGCAATGGGTGTCATTACATATCGAAAAAAAATAATGCAGCAAACATCAATTGAGATAAGAAGTAAAGTTTTAAAAACTCACAGTCTCTATTTTTAGCGATTTGTGTAACAAAAAATCCTATTTTATTGTTTGCGATATATTGGGGATAATTCACATATTGAGACATCCTTAGGGCTTTGCTTTTGATGGGTTGAAACTCAATTACAGTTGTATCTTGTCTTTCCATACTACTAACTACATCGATGTTAATCAATTTGCTTTAAAGATAATATTTTCGTGAATAAAATGACACTCATTTGATCTCTATAAGGAATAGGTGCTCATTCATAGCCACTTTTGGTGGTAAGACGA